TTTCAGAATTTACATGATCTACCCAGTGGTGATGCTGCTGTAAAACTGGGCTTTTCTAATTTTACTGATTACATAAATTGTCTGTACCTGTTTCATATCCCAACACAAAGTTCCAGGAGCAAACTTAGAGAATATAAAACTCTCATCTGCTCTTAAACAGCAACAGGTGATGGAAAATGAGATTTCTATAGTTCACCGATGAAAATATAAAAAACTGTAAGAGCCATCAGATGAACAAATGTACTCACTCATACATTGACTCATTTATTGGACATTAATGACCGCATATAAAATGAATTTAATGCCACTCCATCTCATTTCCCACATCAACAATTCACAGCTTGGGCTTGGATTAATTGGCAGATGCAAGAGAGCAGCCAAGGGTTTGTGGCTATTATGAGTGAGCATAGCTTGGCTGCAGTGTAATGCAGATCAAGGCAACACATGCCTGCCAGATATTGTGTTTGGGGAGTTTGTTCTGCCTTTTCCTGTGCAAAAACAGTTGGCTTCCGTCGCCACACAGTGTTTCCCAGAAATTCTGGAATGTCTTATCGCATTCTTTTAAGACTGATTTCCTCCCATTTCTACCTGTTCTCAAGGTTTTATTTTGCCACTGCTCATACATTATGCCCTGTGGCCTCTTTAATCTTAATGGTTTTTTTATGTGTTTATGTTGTGTGAGCTCATTTCTGTATACTAAAAGTCATGTTAGTTTTTTTTAGTATTCTGTACAGGTAAAAATCAATCTATTGAGATGTCTACTCTGTATTAAATGTGTTATTCCAGTTTACAGTTAAACTTTGTTAAAATTACAGAAATGATTGCTGTATTTTTTGGGGGGGGGGAGGGTGTAAAGAAAAGTGGTGTTCATATGTATTAAAGACTTAAGACTTAATTTAGTACAAAGTCTTTGAGAAGTCCATTAACAAATGAAAATATATAGTGAATTTTGGAGAAATTACAATAATATTCAAAGTATTTTCTTTGAAAAAGAAATTATATATTCCTCCTTTTGTTTCATATCTTCACTGTATTTCATAATTGTAAATTCGTGTTAACCTTCTTCACTGTTTGCTAGAAATTTTTTTCTCCATGTTTTTTACTCTTAGAATTAGGCAGCTATTCCCTTTTAGAGACACAGCCCAGTTCTTACTAGAGCTACCTTTTTAAAGACTTCGTGTATGTTTGTTAAATATTCTACAGTTTTTGGCTGCAAGTTGTTGCTGCCCTCAAGACCTTCCCAGGTTGTTTAGCTCTGCTAACTCCTTCCCAGGATACTGAGATTTGCCAACCTGAACATGTCTTCCAGCACTGAGAGCTGTTCTTTATTCTGCCTAAGAGATGTCTATCAAATAAAGCACTATAAGGCAAAGTACTTGCGAATCAGTGCTAAAAAAAGTAAAGGACAAACAAATCAGAGATGTGGAAATAGCCTGAGACAAGTATGCAGGCAAGGACAGGAACGTGGAAGATGAAATACTGCACATCTGGAGATTTGAAGATGGTGAAAATACTGATTATGAACTTGAACTGTTCCCAAAATATTTGAGAGAGAGTAATGAGAAGGATGCAATAAAATAGAAAATACATGTTTCATGCTAGAACTAGTAACTGCATATTCATTTCCTGCAGGCCTTCAGGAATTTTTCTGTTTCTACAACAAAATCACAACAAATTATTTTCCCTCCTAAGCTTTTTTCTGTATCAATTTCTATAACATTGCATTAACAGTCTTCTTCTTAGTCCAGCTATACAGAGTGCTGGGTGAGCTGGAGTCACAGCCTCAGTGTCACTGCCCAGCAGCTAAGACTACTTTATAACCATTCACCTTCCTTTTTCAGACTCAAATCTATTTTAAAAAAACTGCATTTCCACTAAAGATCTATCTTACATATATCACACTTCAGCACTGAGTATGGCCCTGGATGGCTTACTAAAAACTTCTTATGCAAGTAAGCAGCTCACAATGTCTTTTTATCAATATCATGGCTGTTCCATGATGTGTCCAAAGGCAAAATAAAGGTTTTATCATGAAATAGGTTCTCACAGTACCCATTAAAACAAATCAATTATCACAAACCTAAATTAGTTTGTAAAGGAAACAGGATAAAGCAGAAAGCCCACTGGGGATTTCTAACATGGCTGCTGCAGTTCTGAGAAACTGCACACCTCCCCTTTAATTTTATTGTTCAAAGGAATAAACAGCCTTTGCCTCAAACTGCAGGAATGCCTCTCTGAATTACAGAAGGAATCAAACACTCTAGTAGAAGCCAATAATTGTCAATACAAACAGAACAAAAGCATTTATTAGGAAAAAAAATAATAGTTATGATTAATGACTTCTGTTTGCTCAAGCAGTTTTGATTTATATGGCAATTTCATACCTTATAATTATGTATTCTTTTATGTGGTACATAAATTTGCAAATACTCTTGAGTGGTAGATGTAATGCCTCTCTGTCCAGTGCTCACATTTCTCACTGGCATGCTTGGAGGTGTTGAGTGACCAGTTTGGTGGTAACATTATATTGAAGGAAATATTTGAGATAAAGCCCTGAATTTTTTAATTTTTTCCATGTGTTTCATGACTAACCAGATCAGGAAATGCTAAGTGACTGTTGGATTGCCATGATTACATGATGCATGTACATCTGCACCAATAACTGTGTTAGGCAAGGTTTTATTGTGAATGCTGACACTGCCAGTCATCATTACAGCAATGAGACTATTTCTGTTTTTTCCAGTCAGTCCTTCAAGCTGAAGTTTGGATAATGCAAAATCATAATCAAAGTTCTAGAAGCAGTTTTAATTGTGTACACAATCCAGTTCTGGTGACTTCTTTCACTGCTAAAACTTGTCTAGAACCACCAGTCCCTCCCAGCTAGTCTCACCTTGTGTCTCCCTCAGTACCATGGTCTGGTGAATATCTATGTTCCCCTACAGGTCTCCACAATTCTTACCCACTGTGTCCTTTCTGTTGTAGTCCTTCTTTTCCAGAGAACTGAGCAGCTGATGTACCCACTGCCCCTCAGTTGTCTCCAGTCTCTGACTTCAGTAGATCTGCAAGTAAATTCTGCTGCTGTTCTCCCATTTCTTGCCTTGTCCAACCCTCTAGTTCAAATTATACAGTATTAGGAAAACAGTGTTACATTTTCTAGGGTTTCTCCAGTTTCAGCATTCCCCAGTCTTAGTGTTGTGTGTCAGAAAGGTCCTCAGGTGATATTTGCTCTTTCCAGATTCTATTTTCTCTTGGGATCTACGCTTTCTCAAGTGTCTGTGTAGTTCTCTGCCAGGTTCTTCAGGAAATTCCTGCAGTCTTTCTACTGGAGATTGTTTCAGGAAATCCTTAATGATGTCTAGTTTCCTAATTCTGCACTTATTAGCTCCTATTGCCACTTTGTCCTTGTATTCAGGTACAACTGGGAATCTCAACCTATTGTATTCAAAAGATTCATGAACTTTTGACCTGCCACAGCTAAGAAAGTAAATTGTAAGAGTCTCAAACTAGCAGAATGATTAAGTGGGAACAGTCTTCATTACAGGTGGAAACTTTATTAAATTACTCTTGTTTCTCAACTAAACTGAGCAGTGAAAAGTTTTGTTTCATCTTTGAGCAGCTAGTAGCATTCAAAGGAACAATGTCACCTTCTGCAAGACCAAAGACTTTTTGTCCAATGAAGGCTGGAAATTATATTCAGTTTTATTTTTCCTCTTCAAAAGTCTATAGTGCTGTAGACTTGCTTAAATCTGATTTCATCCACTGTCTGCCTGTTTGTCATTCGGAATGCCTAATTATACCAGCACTGAGCATAGGCTTGGCTAAAATCAGTGTATGAGGTATGCAAGCAAAATCTGTGGCTCTGCTGATTTTCTAGAAGTTTCTATCTTAATAGTGGTGAAAGACTTTACTTGAAGAAGATTCAGAGAAATAGACCATTTTCTAAAAGTTCCTCAGCTGAAACTTTCACAACAAATCATCTTTCATGACAAAAAAATTTTTTTGTAGCAAACCGTAGAAAACTTTGGTTTTAAAAATGCAACCAGACTCATGAAAAAAATTGACAGTCTCATGGGGAGACTTTTTCCCAAATGATACAGATATCATCAAGTATCTCTGATAGCAATTAATCTCCGTGTTTCAAATACAATTTTTGTAGGTACTTGTTTTCAGAGAGTGAGTGTATGATTTTCCCGAACACCCTTCCATTTTAACCAAATTATCAATATTCTTCAGTGCTTTCAGTTGTTAATAATTTCAGTATTCTTTCTGGAGCTGCATTTTGATAAGGAAAACTATAGGTGGCACATACTTGATGATTGCAGAGTCATAGCTTTTCATTTTTCACATTGCTAAATCCATTAGAACATTTGTAGGACTGTCTTATGTCAGTTGTGAGAGAATGGGAACTGGGAAGGAGGACACTTGTCTGGGAATAATCTGGATACACTCTTGAGTTCAGAATCAGCCACTGCTGCTGTTTTATGGAACCTTGCTATTGTGGAGCTCTGTATGGAGCAAGCAGTGCCTGCTTCTATCAGTCATTTCTTCAAAAAAGGTTGGATATTTCTGTTAGTAAAGCCCTGATAATAGTTTTATTTAAACAAGCTTTAGGTCAGACTTCTGCTTTGAGTCTCTAGACCCTCACATCTTAAAGAAATGCTGCTGCTGGAAATAATTCATTTTTCTAATGAGCCACTATTAAATCCTCCTCAATCTGAAAAACTAGTAATATAGTAGTAGAATTTTTCCTAACCAAGAATTTAATTGAAAAGGAAAGGGGAAGATTAAAATTAAAATAAATAATTTAATTTACTATGGACTATCAGTATGAAGATTTGTAAATACATTGTGCATTACTGGCTGACAACAAAGCCCTTAAGTACATCTATTCATATCTTACAATTTAATGTTATTAAATTATTATTGACTTTAAATAAGTTTTCTGTGGGGATAACAGCTTAGTTTAACTGAAAATGTGTGATTTTTGTTTGTTTGTTTAGGAAAGGGATTCCAATTGAGCAAGTGAAACATGCTGATAGAGAGCAAGCAAAGCGTATTGTTTACTCTGTGGTTTATGGAGCAGGTAGGCCTTTTTGGAAAAAACCCAGCCACTGTAAGTTTATACTTTATTTATAATTTATATAAGTAGACTGAATTTCTAAAGGTGAGTAAAAGCTTGTTAGAGTATTTTTATCCAGTATTATTAAATTAATTATCTACTCAGTATAAAAATTATGAAATTAATGTAATTTCATTGCCATATACAAAGATTGTCTGATTTTGTATTTATTTACTGCTGATATAACTGAACCATATATCTAATTTTGAGTGGACTTTGTATTCTTTCAGTATATAGACAGAGATGAGAATAACTGCAATGAAATTTTAAAAACTCCAATATTGTTTTAAATCACATTTATAAAATCAGAGAATGGCAGAGATTGGAAGGGACTTCCGGAGGTCATCAGATCCAGCCTTCTGTTCAAGCAGGGCTGTTTGTCCAGGCCTGTGTCCAGATTTTCAGTGTTTTCAGGGCAGGAGAAGGGGCTCTTCAAGGCTCCACAGCCTCCCTGGGCAACCTGTGCCAGTGCTCGCACACCCTCACAGCATAAAAGTGTTCCATTTCTTTGAATCTTAATGTTTGCTGCCATTTCTTCACAACTGCTGAAAATTTGCAAAAATCCACTGTTACCGTTCTGCCTAAGTCCTGACCAGGTCCTTGATAAGTCAAGATGTTCTTCATCCTTTCCAAAACTGCCTGCTATTTCTAAATGATGCCCCACACTCCTTAAGCTTCATACATGCCTAGAGTTACCTTTCTAGGGAGATAGATGCATGTATATCATCAGCTTAGAAGCTCTTGTGAATTGGTTTCAGTGAGCAGCTGACTAACTTTCCCTACAGAGGATGAGTTCTTGAAAAAGCCATTTAGAAAATGAGAGCCCTGGGCTGCAAGTTTTATGTAACTTGGAAACACTTAAAGCTACATCTTGTGTTTCTGGTTGTGAATGTGAAGTCATCTTTTGCACTAAGTCCTTGAACCAAAGGCAGAATCAGCCAGGGTATCCCATTTATCATTTATGGTATTCAGTTGGGAAGAAATGCATCAAATTTAGTTCTCCTGAATATCTATTTTATGTTTAGGGATGTGTGTGTGTGTGTGTGTATGCATGCATATGTGTGTGCATATATATATATATACACACCCCTAAACATAAATGCATTTTTACATTAAGCTGTATTGCAATTTAAACCTCTGTGTTTAAAATTGATATTAAAAAAGCCCAGCACTAGTACCCTACACTGTGAATTTAGACCTGTCTGTGCTGTGACTGGAATCAAATCTTCCATTTCCCACCTGAATGGTTTCATCACTGGGTTATTTTACAGAATGCCAGCATTATGACCCCTGCCCCTTGGTCCATGCAAATGGACACGTTTCCTATCTCTTCCCTTTGCTGTGGGTGGAACAGGCAGATATCAGATGTAGTCAGAAGAATCACCACCAGCTTAATGCCCTGTAGTTCTGTATAGAGACAGAAATGCCTCAGTTCCTGGGGCTCAGTGGAGCCTGTGTCTGTCTAAAATCTATGGAGAACTTTAATGTTTACATTTAAGCACAGTATTGGCACTCCCTCACTTGCTCTGAACCAGGCATTAAAGATTTCAGTGCAGCAGTGCTTGCTGTAAATGTCTCCACTTACTTGTTTGCTTTGTGTCCCTCTCTCAAACAAGGGCAGTTGAAGCACCTCAAAGATAATAGAAGTTTCCAGTTCATTAGAAGTGTGATCAGATCCTAATTAAGACATGAAATGATATCATTAAACCACTTAGATGGAAACTGGGTTGACAAAAAGTAATTGTTAGATACCTGAAATTGATGGACTGAATTCCACCCACAGTTTGTCTCCCTTCAAAAGACAGCTCGCTTTTCATAAATGAGACATTTTTATACAACTGAAGAGTGTGAATAATACCTCTTTTGCAGTATTGATTTGGATTGAAAACTACAAAAACACTCCCTGGGGAGCTTGCCTGTATTATGCTTACAGGAGCTAATAAAAACCTTTCATGTAGTAAATAGTAATCTTTTTATTTTCTTTTTCTTTTGTAGTTTGTATGTTCTGTTTTCTTAGGTTACACTTGGTTCATGCTTTCAAGGTCTTTCTTTAATTCTGAAGGATAAGAGAGGAAAAAGAAGATTGGTTATTAGGAAAAAGTTTCCACCCAGAGGGGTGGTTGGGCCCTGGAACAGGCTCTCCAGGGCAGTGGTCACAGCCCTAAGCATGAGTTCAAGAAGCAGTTGGACAACACTCTCAGGTGCATGGTGTGACTTTTGGGGTGTCCTGTGCAGGGCCAGGAATTGATCCTTGTGGGTCCCTTCCAGCTCAGGACATTCTGTAATGTCCTATCATTTTTGGTTGTTTGGAACAATTCAATTCACCTGCTTCTCCCTTATTAATCTTGTAGATCTAAAACACAGGCAACTTAAACATCTGTAAAATAAGGAATTCCTTCTATTCAATGACAGTATGTCCAAGCCCTGCACTGACACAGAGGGCTATCAGTGTTTGTTAATGTTACTTTCATTTTTGAAAGATGATAGTGAAGAATGGAGAACACTGAAACTCATAGGCTGCTGCTGATAATTACCCTGGCACACAACAATTAAGAGTGCTCAGAGAAGGTTTAGTCCACTCCTGGGCTTTGCCTGGCATGGCCTGTGCTCCTGCACTGTGGAGCATAATCTGACACAATTACATGGCTGTTCATTCCCCTCTTTTTGATTCCAGGGAGCTGCATTTCCCTGGGAACTTTCAGACGTCCTTGCTAATATTGTGCTTTAATTTTCCTAGTATTTTATGCAATTGTTCTGTATATTAATAGTTCTTTAAATGGATGACATGGACAAACTTAGATGTTACATTTCTCTAAGGAAGCTGCAGTAGTCTCCTAGCTGTTAGCAACGTGTGCTTTATCAAATAGATTTGTCATTTGCTGACCCAGGAAGAAAACCCAAATTAATTAGATGTCAAAAAAAAAAGAGTACAGATCTATAATAGCTCAGCAAATGTCATCCTGGATGTCTGTGTGAATTTCTCCCTCTAGCACCTTGTCCAGACTGGTGTTCTTGCAGCTCAGTGCAGATCCTGGCGTGACTGAGAACAAAATGCTACAAGAATTGTTCTGAAGTGCACATCAGCCTGACAGTGATGGCATTTAGATGGCTGAAATCCTCTCTCTTTTTAAAGTGCTAGACAATTTCTCTTGACAATCTTACTGTGACAGTGACTATTCTGTGCCTTTGGTGCCTTGAGATGTCTCCTCTCAGCTTATGTTCTTTGCAGACAGTGCTGGTTCTGTGTTGCTGTGCAGCTGACATAAATATATCTGTCTTTCAAACTTCATATGACTACTGTTGATGTACGTTTTATTTTTATTGGAACTGTTTGATTTATAAGTGGGTTTAAACTGTAGCTCTTAGTTTATATTTGAACACTCTAGAATATCCTCAAGTTTTTTTAGACGTTTTCTTATAAATGCTCTTAGATCCAGCATAACTGATATTGTGCACCTATATCCTGTCCAAAAGCTATTATTCCTTTTTCCCTCTATTGGAACGCTTTTTCTGTTTTTTCTTTTTCCTTTTTTTTTTCTTTTTCCAACCTTTTTATCTTAAAACATGGACCCCAATTTCTACTGACATTGAGGAGCCTAAAACTGTCTGAAATATGTGAGACCCAGACTCCAAACATCCTTTCTAAATTCAGGCTGAACTCTAAAGCTTCTAGCTAAACTCAAACACCTTCATTCTTTTTTTAGATCTTCCTTATATTTGTGTTTGTTAAAAGTTAATTTTAAATCTTTATCTGCTCTTCAAAGTTTGGAGATTGCAACACTGAACTGGTAAAATGATACTTAAAGCAACAGCATTTTTCTGTGAACAAAAGAGATTTCAACCATATTATAGGTATAAATTATAACTAGGAGTTTCTTAATTGCATACTTCTTATATACTTCTTACTAATTATATACTTAATCCAGTAACTTCAGTAAAACCTTCAAGCTCAGGGTTAAACATTTATTTTGCTGCAGTATGATTTTAGTGTATCAGATCCATCCTCTTTCATAGAGGTAAGTAAAGTAACTAATTCCACTAATTGTGCATGAAAACAGTGCTATTGTATGCAGTGGTTTTCTGTTCTGCTTTATTGCATAATAGAGATAATTTCTGTACCACCAGGTAAAGAACGTCTCGCTGACTGCTTGGGAATTACTCCTGTTCAAGCCAGTCAATTTATAGAGAGTTTTATGCAAAAATACAAGAAAGTACATGAATTTACAAAGAAAACCATTGAGCAGTGCAGGTATAAAGGTAATCCAAATCTGTGACCATATTTTGTTTACTGATCTGCACTGTGTGACAGTGGTGAAGACAAAGATTTGATACCCAAATTCAGATAGTTACAGAACAACAAAAAAAAGAAAGGAATATCCTTTCTTGGTGAATCAGGTTTGGGGTTTTTTTTCTTTTTTAGCCCTAAAAGGAGCTGGTTAAGTCTGCCTTTTCTCAGAAAGATACTAACAGAATAAGACATCTGTTCTCAGAATGAACCCCACTTAATGTCAAGTTACACTGCATCATTTTGACATATAATGTACTCCAACAGAAAAAAAAGCCCAAGGAATTTTCTCCCTAATAAATTGGGTACATGGCTGCTGGACCGTGGAAGTTCAGTCAATTTACACAGCCAGTTTTTTTTTAAACTTATTTTTTCTTTGCATCAATCAGAATTTATGTTCTTGAAGTTCAGGTGGTAGCTGTAGTGACAGATGTGTGCAGAGTGCTTCTGGAGCCAGCAGCTGCAAACTCTTCTTGCACCAAATTTGTTTTTAGTCTACATATTCATTTATATTTAGTGAATCCTAGGAGTGCAGTAATTTGAGAAGAGAAAACATAGCTGCTTGAAATATTGTCTTTTAAAAGCTAATTAGCAGAACTGTCAAAATTGAGTTCCTTTGTTTCTTAATAGGGCATGCAGTACTAAGACATTTTTTAGAAATAAATAGTAAATTTGCAATATAATATTACCCATCACTGTATGGGTGAGTGTCATGACAGAAACATGTAATTCACTTCTAGTCATGAAAATTGGTAGTATTCATTTTTTGTAGTTTATAGCTCTAAAAATCTACTGGAAGTATGAGCTGTCATTGTGTCATACATTTGCATTCCTTTGTTTATTTATATTGCTCAAGAAAAGTGAAGCTACTAAACATCCATTTTTAGCTGCAATTAAGCCAAACATACCTAGTAAAATATTTTGCATTTATTATATATTAATTATATATTTTAAATAACTCAGCATTCTTTTCTTTGAAGTGAATGAATTTCAATGGACAGACTTCTGTGCAAGAGAATCTGCTTTATGGGTTCACTAGACAGGAATGTGATGACAAATGCTCTAAAGTCATCAAAGCACCCTTGTCTAATTACTTCTTACTCCTTCTTACACTTCTGCCTATCAACCATTTTTAACCATTAGTGGTAGAAGAGCAATCTGATCAGGTTGTACAAGCTTTAGAAATCTGCAGCAGATCAATATTATTTAATATTTTTCTTGTTAATCCACCTTGGATTCTAACTTTTCAACAAATACATTCCAACCTATTGAGCTCCTTAGAAGGTAATTTTTTTTAACTTATCTGAAGTTCAAAGGTGAGCAGCACCCCCCTGAAAAATATTTTTTAAGTGTTATGAATGTCTGATACTCCATGTGGATATGAAAAGCATATAAATAATTATATTATGAGGAAGATATTTGTTAGTGTATATATCACTATACTGCTGTTGTTTTTATGAAATTATTGACACATTGAAAAGACCACATTAAGGCCTCATTCAGGCATGCATTTGCAGGTTAATCATTGACACCAGGCACCTTCTCTGCCACTGTTACACAAAGGATGGTGTTCCTTTGGGGATGCCGCTCAGTTATGAGGAGTCACACCTCACAGCAATCAGGATATTGCAGAAACTCTGATTTTAGCTAAGGATAGAATGTTACAAGAATTCCATCTTTAAATGCTGTTCATCATGGAAAATGTTAGTTAAACTGGGGAGACTGATTTGCCAGAGAATACCCTAACTTCCAGATAGTTCAGTTTCTTGTTTCAAAATGGGTCCTTTTGGTATCAGTGCTCCTGGAAATGCACTACTTCACAGAAAACTGAATTAGTTAATCCTTTGCACACAAGCTTGGGTATGTGTTGTCCATAATAAGGTGATAACTTTTTGTTTCAAGAGGTCTCCTCACCACTTGTGCTTGCACAGCAGAGGAGATGAAACTATGTCAGTCTGAATTTCCATGGTATCTAATGACAACTCCCGGGTAGCCAAGGTGATCAGAAATATAAAGAAAAATTTTTTCATGATGTATTTTTAACATGGATGATTTTTCTTTTTTCTTAAAATAAGAATAGAAGTTTATTTTTGAAGATAAGCTAGGTTTTGTGTGCGTTATTTTGACAAGAGGAACCTCACATTTCTTTTCCTATCTCAACTCCTCTCACTTGCCCTCCAAATAGGGTTTTTTTAGGAAAACACGTCATTGGGCCTAACATAAAGCTTTAGCAGTGTTTTTATGTTTCTTTTAAACTAAAAATTCCCACCACACTAGAGTTAAGGCAGTTTGGCTGTGAAGGGAACACAGAAACACTACATAAAGAAAATGGGAAAAAAAAACCAAACTTTTTTTTTTCCCAAAAAACCTTATTTTATATTTTTGGGAAATATTCATTACTGATTTAATTACTCTACAAATTGATTTTTCTTTACTATTCCCAATAAACTATTAATTGTGTGCAAAGCTCTAATTATGGTTGCTAATAGATAGCTAATTCTGCTAGGTATTTATAGTTTCATCTCCCACAGAGAGAGTTTGCCAGGTTTATCAGTAGACATGCCTAATAAAAATTTAACAGCCTTAAAGAACTAAAGTTTTCCTTGTATAACATGTACTAATTCTCTGAATTAAATAATACTTAAACCAAAAATACAATAAATGTTGAAGTTTTAAATAAGCCCTGACTATATTCAGTGAACAAAATATTAAATTGACCTAGGCAGCACATAATTACAAATATCTGTATTGTCCTCAAAAAGAATTTTTGAAATTTAATTTTAATGACTCTGTATCACATAACAGAAATTTTTGTTTAAATCCTGCAAGGTTACGTGGTTTCCATCATGGGACGCAAAAGGCCACTGGCCAATATCAACGCACAGGATTACAAGCTGCGCACTCAAGCAGAGAGGCAGGCTGTAAATTTTGTTGTTCAAGGTAAAGATCTGGCTCCCTACCTTCCTGTCCACCCACCTGTCTCTATCCCTGCTTGGCTTTAGTGGGCAACAACTGATAATCTCAGATGAATGAATATTACAGTAGTGTACTAGAGTAGGGATGAGTTTTCCTTTGAAAAAGAAGTTAAAATTATATATTCCATCTACCTTGAAATTGCTAGTAAACAGAATAATATAATAATAATAATGATTATATTAATAATAGCAACAGTATAAATGTTCTAATACTCTACAGTGCTCTGTGATAGTTAAATGTAGGTATTGATGCAAACTGTGTATAGAGAGAATATTTAGAATGCTGTTCTTCAGATGCATTGAACACTTTCCTTTCTGGCTCTTATAATCTTTTACTCCAGAAGGGTTTTTGTGATTCTGTCTTTGATTTCTTACAGATTCCAGCTTTTATTTTGCCAGGTAGCTTTAGTTTCAGAAATACAGAATGTTACAATAATTGAGCATTGTTATTATTTGTTTTGAAATCCATCTCATTCTTTGCAGAAACTTCAAACTTAATTCTGTGGAGGGTATGAAAAATGGTGGTTTTTTTCCATAGAAAAAATATTTAACATATAGATTTGAAATATAAAAGTCAGCATTTCTGTGCTCATGTGTTAGTTAATCTGATGCCATAACATGTTCTGTTTAATCATTTGGGGCTCAGGTGTGTACAGAATTTAGCTACCCAAAGGAAAAAAAAAAATCCAAACCTGAGCTGTCAGCCCAAGACTGAGATCCCTCCTACCTTGATGTCCCTTAGAAAAACTATTTGTTAAATTGGATGATGCTGACAGGGTTTTATTTAAGTTACCCTGGAAGTGTACAATTTACAGGCAAGGAAAAGTGCTTTCTAGACATGGTGATGGCATGCTCCTTCTAAAGTTATTTGAATTTTCCTTTTGAAAGTATCACTTTCCTCTCCAAACATTATTCATTTTAATGTTTCATTTTTAAAATGACTTAAGTATTTATGTAATGTTTGACAGTCTTTAAATACTGTCTCTGCAAAGATACCTACAGGCCTAGAATTCTAATTTTAATTCTCACTCTGTGAGTCCTGCAGAGCACACAGTGTAGCACTGATAAAGGGACACAGCCCTCTGAGCAGCATTTGCTGTGTCCGTCTGTCCCAAGAGCTGGAGCAGGGCTGTCACAGGACTGTCTATGGAACACTCACTTCTCTGTACCTACAATAAGATTGTCAGATTGCACTGTCAGTTCAAGTGATACTGGAGGACAAATCTGATGAAAAATAATGTAATTGTTACTCAAAATGTAATATTAGGAGGTGTGGTGAAGCAAGAATTAAAAACTAGAGTATTCACTATTCCCAAATTTTATTTAAAAAATTCATTCTAGACTACCATAATGTTTAATTTTAAGATTTCAGTTATAAGATAATATTTGAAGTCTATAAAAACTTTCAAAATGAAAAACTTTTTATCACATTTAGGATACCAAACTGCATTTAATATGTGTTTTATAGTTATGCCTAATAGTCTAATTAATTTAAGTAATTTGCATTTTGATTATGGTAGCAGCAACTGATAGCAGAACGTTTCAGATGCATGACATTATTGAGAGGAATGTAGAATTGCAGCTTTGAATTATTACAGTTGGGTTTCTCACACTTCTTTCATAGTGGTTTTTTTCTTTCTTTAATGTTTCCCAGTGCACTAGTTTTCACCAATGTACAGCATATTATTCTTCAGTTATTTTTCAGTTGTACCTATTACCATAGAGCAAACAGTGTGTTTTATCTTTATTTATTTATAATTATTTTCTTTTTTTAAAGGAAAATTATATTCTTTTATAAATAGGATACCTCTAAAAACCATATTTCAATAAAAATATTTTGAGAAGCCTTTCAAATTTTATTCCTCTACAATGTTTCATAAATAATGTATCTAGAACATATCTTTTGTGATGGCCTAAATGCTCAATATAGTTTTATTCTCACAATCACTAAGAAGATACTTACCTTACCTTTGCTGCAGCAGCCTTTCTTACTTTTTATATCAGTTGTCCCTTTTTGTAATGTGTTGAGTAATTTGCCACATCATTTGAAGAGGAAAACAAGACAGGTGTTGGAAGCTAAAGCCACAGTCAGACATCGGCATCTTGGTCATCAGCTGAGGGTCTGCACTGGGTACAGTTAATGAGCAAAGCAGAGTCCCTGCAGGGGATCCAGAGGGGCAGTTTGTCACAGATGACTGTGGAGAAAGAAGAGACGTTAAGCCTTTGTCCTTGTTCTCTTAGATATTCTTCCTTAGCCAAAAGGCCCACTGTATCCTGGGGGACATCAGGCACAGCCTCGCTGGGCTGTCACTGTCCCACTCTGCTCTGCCCTGGTGTGGCTCCACCTCACATCCTGTGTGCAGTTTGGGGTGCCTCAACAGAGGAAGGACATCAAACTGTCAGAGTGTGTCCAGAGGAGAGTCACCAAGGGAGTGAAAGGTGTTGAGGACAAGACTGACAAGGAGCAGCTGAGATCCCTTCTGTTGTTCAGCCTGGAGAAGAGGAGGCTGTGGGGTGATCTCATCACGATCTGCAGGTTCCTCAAGGGAGGCAGTGGAGGGGAAGGTGCTGAGCTCCTTTCTCCAGTGACAGCTGTAGGGCCTGTCACTACAGGGAATGGCATGAAGCTGTGTCTGGGAGGTTTAGGTTGGATATTGAGAAAAGGCTCTTCACCCAGAGGGTGGCTGGGCACTGGAACAGGCTCTCCAGGGCAGTGGTCACAGCCCCAGGCCTGGCAGAGTTCAAGGAGTGTTTGGACAATGCTCTCAGTCATATGGTTCAGATTTAGAGTCCTGAAGGGAGCAGGGAGTTGGGGGGTTGAACTTGGTGATCTCTATGGGTTTCTTCAAATTGGAGATTTCTGCAATTCTCTGATTACCTCTCTGCAGAGTACCCTTGTCACTTGGCTGTTCTCTGCCCCTATTCTGAAAGTTGAATCATTTGGAAGAAAAAATGCAGAATTCATTGAGTTAAAGGGTTGTAAAAATGACCATGATCTGGGACATTTAGGATGTTTAATGGGACAAGGACAATTATGGCTTCCACTCTTTACTCAAAGAATTGTTTCTATATTTTATCAGATAAATCTTTTGTGTAAAATGTTTGGATCAGAACAAAGCCCTTCACCAAACTGCAGGCCTGGAGAATTATTCTGCCTCTTGATGACCAGAAATGTGTCATTTATTCTGTGCCATGACACTGTTTTATGCACCACTGCTCTTAACACTGTAATGTAATGAATATGCTTTACATATACATGGAAATATGAAAAAGTGTAAAATTAAGGCTTCAAATTGAAATGCAGCACTGAAACAATGTTCTGACCTTTTGTGACATTAAACTTTAATTGATTAATAGATAAATTTTAATTAAAGCTTAGAGATAGATAATTTCATACCATTTTATAGAAAGCAAATTTTCAACATATAATAACAATCGTGAATGACAAATTCACCTTTAATTAACACATGATTTCATATTGTTATTTTCTAGTTTTAATTAACATGTAATTACTTCCTCTGTTGTTTATTAATCTTATAATGATTCACATATTACATTCATTGGATCTGCTAGTTTTAAAAATTCTTATAATTCAGAATCTTCTGATATTTTTTGTCCCTATGCCATAGTTCCAAGAAGAACATTTTCTTTTTGCTTTAAATTAAAACCAGATCACTTTCTTTCATAGGCTCTGCAGCTGATCTTTGTAAAATGGCTATGGTGAAGATTTTTGCCTCTGTTGTCATTTCTCCAACTTTAACAGCCAGGTTAGTAATGAATGACTGCAAAACTGCTTGGTTTCAAAACAAAATTAGTTGAAATTAATGTGTTTCTGTAATTTTAAGCAGCTCTAGAACTACCATGTGTACCTCTGAGTCTATTAACAAGCAAGGGCATGTGGAATGGTTTCATACATTTAAAGTTATATCTTTGTGCTTAAATGGTTGGATCTGTAAATGCATCCCAAGGTGTTGAAGTGCCCCAGGGTCATTTCAGCTCAGTCAGATCTAATTCAGTGGTAGTTCTGCACCTTTGAAATCAAGCCCACTGATCATATCCTTCCTGTATTTGAGTGTATTGTACAGTGGGAATTGAACATTCAATGGCCTGGGAAAAAAAACAGGAATCAGGAAACCAGTGCTCAAGCAAAATAAATGAACATTTTTTCATTCTTGTATAGATGGCTTTTCTTTAAAGAAAAGCTTGGTCATCATGATTCTCTTCTGTTGTGACTGCTCAGAGTTGGGTGGGAGATCACAGAATGTCCTCAAAGAATTTTATGCCAGTAGCAGAAATAATGAAGTGTACTTTTCCTGTGGAGAAGCTGGTCCATACAGCCACTGAACATTATTATTTGCTGCAATAGAAAGAGACTTTGAAGTCAAACATGTAGAAAAAAACCCGAAAATAAGTGGTTTCTCATCTTTGGTAATGCAAAGATTGTCTAGCAAACAATCCAGTAGAGCATGAATTGGTGCAGTAGAAGTTCAGACAAAAGCAGAGTGGTGCAAGTAGGACAGAACATCAGTGTTTTTGTTGTCATCTAGAAAGGATGATAACAATTTAGCTGTAGCAATCATGCATTGAGGACTTCTGTGGGTGTATAGCTCAGTACAAAAATATAGGGTTTGTCCTTCTGAATGTACTTGGCAATTATGGGCATTATCTAATCCTACAAGTAATGTGTTAGTGTGTGTATCATTTACACACAGCAGTGTTGTCTTATCTGATCAAGGTTTGAAAATACAATTTCTAATTACAAATAAAAGTTCAATTTGTTGAATTCAAAGTAGTCGGACTCATTCCTATACTAAAAATAAAACAACTTCTGAGTGGCTCTTAAATGTTCTTGCAACTTTTAAAGCAAAATACCATTGAACTATTAAAAAAAATAAAGTGACCCACTAGTACAAATCTGAAAAGGGAAATTGTTCTTTGGTGGAGATCCTGCCTGCACTCAGGCAATGATACATTTATGTATTAAATGTTGGATGATGCACTATCACATACTGCATTGTACACTTTCAGGCAGATTGTCTGCACTGATTATAATTCATTTTGCTACCTGAGTTGAATGAAGAGCCCAGAATCTGTCAGCTGTGGCATAGATGAAAATTTCTGTAGCAGTAGCAGGCATAATTGAGTTAGATGAGTGATAGAGCAGCAGCCAACAGCTTTTAGTGGAGGAGGCAAGTGGAGGTGGTGCAAGGGCAAAGAACATACTACAATTCTGTAGTTCCTGCCTGGCACATGGATCTTTAGGTTCAGCAACTGCCTGTGTGTTGTAATTCTGAGAAAGCCAAAGTTTTTTGCTACTAATGTCATGTCTGATTAAGCTTGTGAACGTTTTTTGATCTCAACAGAAAATTTTATTTGGGTTTTTCTTTCTTAAAATTATTTATTTTAAAGAAGTAACGTCACCAAATGGCTAAGGAGGAAACAGACATGGGGGAGTATTGCAGCTGTACATGTTGAAATTCCTGGTGTTGTGAAAGCATAGGGGAATGGCTACACCAGATAACAGAAAAATATCACTGCCTATCCTGCTTGTTCCTATCATAAATGTCACAACTGGGAAAGACCAACACTGCCGGGGCATTTAAAAAGGATAGACTGTATTAAACAGGGGTTTTGAACTTCTGCCAGCCATTAACAACTGGATGGCTTTGCTAGAGGAAAGTGTTTTAGTAGTCAATAATGGCTCCTTGCTGTAATATTTAGTAGGTACTTACAGACCAGGCTTGTCAGCAAAGCACAATCAATGCCTTTGTAAATTCTGTGAACACTTCCCTGCTTGGACAGTGGCATTTGAAAACATGGGAAGGATCTTGCCAAAAGAATATTGGACTGAAACTTGAAATATTGTGTTTCTCCTTGTCTGCCAGGTGACATTCAGTTAGTTATTTTTTCAGTGGTCTGTTTCTTGATTTTCTTATCAGTCAGGTCAGGATCTAACATTCTTTATAAATCCATTTGAAAAATATTGTTGAAAGGAAGTGTGGACATAATTGGTGCTGTTGTAACAGTGGGAATGTACAGTAGCTCTTCCAAAATGAGAAATATAATCAATCTCCTATTATCACTCCATCAGACCATATTCATTCCAAAGATAGCACACTACTATCTTTTCTTCTATCTTCATACCCCTGTAAGTATCTTTATTTCCCTTTTAGAATTTCTAATTTTGGAAACAGGGTTTTCACTTTGAACAGCATATCAAAGAGAAATATCATTTTTACATGCTTTAGAAGTGATTATGAACATTTACCCTGAGAGACAGTATCCTCTTAAGCACAGCTAAGTTTTGGCTAACGCTCAATATTTTGTCTGCTTTACCTTAGAAATAAGGAAAAAAAAATTCTAAATAAGGTCTTACAGTTTTTAGTGTTAGTTTGCAGGTATGTTTGTAGTCTTCACTCTCAACACTGCATTCATTGTTCCTTTGTGGAGGCTCTTCAGCAGTGAGCAAGCTCTGACCCAATAGTGTGAAGCTTCATTTTTGTGTGACTAGCAGTCAGTAGATGTTTTGTTCTTGTTTGCACATATGATGCTGTATTTGGAAGTCAGGAAAAGGTGATCAAGTTACATTTTCATGATGCTTCATCAGAGAGGTGTTCTTGATGAAACAGTATATTCCACTGTGACTGATCAATTCTGTCAACTAACAATCTCATTTTTCGCTTTATGTTTCTTTATCTTCTAATTCAAATACTAGCCTAGCAGCTTATGCAGTTGACAATACAAGTCAATCAATTACCTGGAAGCAATTTTACAGAAATCAGGAGAAATAGTATTATATGTAATATATATGATACAGATCTAATATTAGTATGGGTTGACTACTGGCATCAGTGTTAATATCTCTGCATTTTGTGTGGTGCTGACAAATAATCAACATTTTTCAGACTTCTCCTATATTACCTAGATCTTTCTTAAGATGTTCTGCTGCTCCTGGCCAAGTTGCTCACTGAAAATGTGCTGCTAGCATAAATTATTGAAGTCCCAGCTTTTACCCATCTGATGCAATCCACAGAACCTCCTCATGATATTTCCTGCAGGCAGATGATAGCAGGAAAACTTTTGAAATGAGATCAAGGCATAGAGTAGCAGCTGAAAGAAAGATTTATGGAACTGATGAGAGTGCAAAGGTGAACTTGGTGAACTCAGATGGACAGTTGTAGTTCTTTTCTGTGTTTGAAACATCACTGCAGTGAGAGTCACATGGAAACTTGGTGAGAAAGAAGGGTGCTGGCAAATTGTGGGTGGATTGCTGCCTATAGCATTGCTTGTACATATTATCATTTTGTAAGCTGAAGAAGCACTGATGTTGCCCAAAGTCTACCTGGTATTACATGGACTTCTCAGTAGCTCAACAATATGCACATGAATTTTAACAATTCTACAGAAATACTGAGTGAATTGGTGTGACTCCACCAATTCTGCTTTTGCACAAAATTATTGTTCCTTCAGCACTGGACCTGTGCCACAAACACAGCTTTACTTCTCAGCATGTCTGGAGCCCAGTTAAAGAGACAGGTTCAACCGCAGGCCAAATATAAATGAGTAATCTGAAAAGGAGAAACGACCAGCAAATAAAAGCAAAGGGTTTATTTTCTTGGTTGGTCCCAGCTGCTTTTCAATAGCAGTGGATGTTGGAATTCTGTATGTCTTCCTCAAGGAACACCTTAATCAAGCTAATGATTTTCTGTGCTGGTGAGCTGTACATACAACTCACTTCTACAGATATCTAAATTAGTTAGAAACAGCTCTTATTGTCCCAGTAACAAGTATTGTTTTATGTGACCTGGATTTTTTTCAGATACGAGTCATGGTAAATCACAAATTATTCCTTTCTTGAAAGTGGCTTTTAGTTTTAGTACAACACAAGAATCTAGCAGCATTTTATAAGGTGTGTAGGGATTCAATAATTATTACTTTATAAACTGCTTATAATTTTTCAGATTCATACAAAAGGGCATATTAATAAACTCAACTTCCTGATTGCATCATAGTTTCAAACAAATAAATTAAGTAAAATTCTTAGTGTTGCTGCTGTGTGAGTTGATCTTCTTTAATTCTGGACATAAATCTTACATCCATTTATCTGTTTCTTCAGGAGTTAAAGAACTGTTTTCACTCATGTTTCTTCTCTAGCAGCTAACCAGGATTTTCAAATAAATGCTTTTTGCTCTGGTATTCTGCCCACAATTCCCACTCAGTATGTACCCAAACTTCCTTAATGTATTAATTCTAGCAAGATGATTAACTTTTAACCTTAGCCTAATACTGGAGAAATTGAACCACAAGGAAAAGATAAGTTTTGAATTCTGCTTGAGAGGAGAATAAGATTTTTTGTTTCACAGACAAATGCTTTTGTTTCTGTAGCAGAAGGAAACTTCTGAGGTCACATTGCACTCTCCATAGCTGTTGTCTATATGTAGCTCTTTGCCTCCCAAAGCAGCCAAATAACATTAAATTTCTATGCAAGCTGTAACTTAGAAAAATCATCACTTTCCTCAAGCAACCAAAGCAGTATTTTGCATGTATCCACAAGATGGTGAGCTGTTACCTGAACACTTCATGCTCAGTGAGCCAGAGCAAATCAGACTAATTTATTCTTTATAGAAAGAGCCAAGTACATTTAAAATGCTGAAATATCACAGCCAAAAGGGACATGCATGATTTAGCAGGTTTTTCACTATTTCTTTATGTAAGACATTCAACACAAATAAATATATTTAATTTATAAACCCTTTTGTAGGTCACC